GTTACTGCTACAGTGGCTGCTGCTGCTGCAGTTCTTCCCGTTGCTGCTGCCCCTCGTCAGCTGCTGCTGCTGCTGCTGCTGCTGCTGCCATAGGCAGACAGTCTAGCTGTGCCTCCTCGCGCAGCAATAAAGCGGCAGCAGCAGCAGCAGCAGCAGCAGCAGCAGGATCAAGTGGAAGGTTGGGGGGAGCAGCAGCAGCATCAGCAGCAGCAGCTGCAGCAAGATGATGATGCGGTGTTTGGAGGTTTGCTGCTGCTGCGGCGGTCGCAAGGGGAAAGTGAGCTGCTGCTGTACTTGTGCTGCTGCAGCAGCTGCTGCTGTTGCTGCAGCAGCAGCTGCTGCTGCTTCTGAGCGTTGCTGCTGCTTCTGCTGCAGCTGTGCTGCTGCATTTGTGCTGATGTTTCTAGACACCGGAATGGTGTCCCTGTTGCTGCTGCTGCTGCTGCTTCTGCTGCAGTTGTTGCTGCAGTTTCTGCTGCTGCAGTTGCTGCTTCTGCTGGTGCAGTTGTTGTTGCTGCAGCTGCTGCTTCAACTGCTGCTGTTGCTGCTGCTTCACCTGCTGCTGCTGCTGCTGATGCTGCTGCATGCGTTTCTCTGTGCTTTTCTGTTTGTCTGCTCAGCCGGCCCATCAGGAAGATGTCATCAAACAGCGAGGTACTTCTGCTGCTGCTGCAGTTGCTGCTGTAGTTGCTGCTGCAATCGCTGCTGCAGTTGCTGCTGCAGTTGCTGCTGCAGTTGCTGCTGCAGTTGCTACTGCGTTTGTTGCTGTTGTTGTTGGTGGTGTAGCTGTGCTGCTGTTACAGCGCTGATGATGCTGGTCTTGCTGCTGCTGTTGCTGCTGCTGTTGCTGTTGCTGCTGCTGTTGCTGCTGCTGCTGCTGCTGCTGCTCTATGCCTGAAACACTGTATAGTGGTTTTGTGTCTCTCAGCTACTGCTAAACCCTAAACCCCAAACCCTAAACCCTAGCTCTGTCTTTGCTGCTGCATCTGTATCATGCGGGGATGTGAATTAGTTTAGGGTTTAGGGTTTAGGGTTTAGAGAGGGGGTGTGTTTGGGTGTTTGAATTGTTCTCTGTGTGTCTCTTGTTGCTGTTTGCTGTGCTTTGCTGCTGTTGCTGCTGCTTTTGCTGCTGCTGTTGCTGTTGCTGTTGCTGTAACTATTGCTGCTGCTGCCACTTCTGCTGCTGTTGATACTGCTGCTGCTGCTGCTGCTGCTGCTGCTGCTGCAGTGAAGCTGAGCCACCGGCTGCTCTCTCTCTGCCCCCTCCCCCGCAGCCCAGTGCGGCCTTCGCTTATGTACGTGGGTGATTATATAGATGCTGGCAGCGGCAGCAGCAGCAGCAGCAGCAGCAGCAGCAGCAGCAGCAGCAGCAGCAGCAGCAGCAGAGGGGATGTAAGCAGGATGCAAGCAGGGAAGAGGCAGTATTTGAAGACCCCGCTGGGCCCCACAGCGCCCCAGGGAGCCTACGACAGCACCAGCT